GTGTGTGTGTGTGTGTGTGTGTGTGCGCGCGCGCATTTGATTCAATGTGGATAAAAGAGTTTTCTAGGAGTCTGTTTTGAACCAATTGTAGGATTTGGGGAATGGTAGCCTTATCCCTATTTTATCAGTGGTTGTTTATGATTCAAACCATCAGCCTCTGGATCACTATGTGGATAAAAGCATTGTCAAACTCTTTTTCCGTTCAATTTTGAGTTTGACATTTGATTACAATAGGACGAAAAGAGTATGCTTGGAGTCTGTTTTGACCCAACTGTAGGATTTGGGGAATGGTAGCCTTATCCCTATTTTATCAGTGGTTATTTTAATGATTCAAACCATCAACCTCTGGGTCACTATGTGGAAAAAAGCATTGTCAAACTCTTTTTTCTTTCAATTTTGAGTCTTACATTTGATGGAAATATATATATATATATATATATATATATATATTGCTGGGCTACTTGTTTTCTGCATGTTTTAAATTTGTTTCACATTTTATTAGGTCTATCTGTATCTTTTTGTTGCAGTATTACTGTACTTGTATCGTATGGTAGGGTGTCTCTTTTAGGCTCTTCTCATACAATCTTTATGTATCCTTTTCTATTTCAATAAAAATATGTATATATATATATATATGTATATATATTTCTGGGCTGTTTTATTACTTCTTGGAGTCTGTTTTGGACCAACTGTAGGATTTGGGGAATGGTAGCCTTATCCCTATTTTATAAGTGGTGGTTTTAATGATTTAAACTATCAGCCTCTGGGCCACTATTTGAATAAAAGCATTGTCAAACTCCTTTTTCTTTCAATTTTGAGTTTGACATTTGATGGAATATTTTTGTCCAGTGAATATATTTCAAAGGCTGCTTTTTAGAAGTATACAAACAAATTGAATCTTCTAGGATTGCATGCTGACATAAACCATTGCTACCCTTCTGTATGACATATTTTGCTTTTGCAAGCCGTTTCACAATAGGTTAAAATTTCTAATGGCTTAAAAAACATGCCAGGTCATAGACGTGTACCATCCATTGGCTTTAAGGCTATTCTTAATTGGCACTCACTACAGATCTACAATTAGTTATTCTATTGCCCAATTGGAGATAGCATCCGATCGATTGTACTATATCTATCAGGTATAAAGCTAGGTTTTTCATCATTTCTGCAGCAAGTGCTCAATCTCTAATTGTTTTATATGTTTTTTGGCAGACCATGTGTGATTGTGACAAATTTTTGCATGAATCTAATGGGGAAAACTTGAAGGATCGTCTTCCAAAATATATTATAGATTGCTTAAACAAATTTCAATTTGATTTTGAAAAATCTTTAGCAGATGATCTACATACCCCAATTGCACTGGCTTCTTTCTCTGAACCATTGAAGATCATCAATGATCTCCTTCATACTCGTAAAGTAAGGTTTTTATTTTCTCATTACAGAATTATAACAGCTTCATGCCTGAGGTGGTTATTTAATTGTTACTCTTTCTTTATTGAAATAATAATATTCACTGGTCATTTTCTTTTATTGTGGATTTATTATAATGTTATTATTTTTATGTGGACTGTTTTCAGCCATGATATCATATAGCATTTTTGTTTGTGTGTTCATGCATTCAAGTAGATTCCTAGAAGCTCATATAATAGAGATTAGATGGTTCATGTAGATTTTGAATAGCATAGGACATTATAGAAGGCAAAGGGTTCGGAATTAGAAGAACAAGGCCAAATATATTTTATGTTTTCAATGGATGTAAAATTAATAATTATCTATTCTCTGTAGTGGAAGATCAAGCCCTGCTAAGCTGTGATATGTTTAATTCAAGATATATAAATTAGGGTACTTGGTGTATTAAATTTGGATAGTTAAAATAGTGAAACACTAGAGTACACAGTGCAATAAGATTATTGAAAAGGCTTGCAATTAAAGTTTATGAAACTCTAATCAGACAAACCGTGTTATGTTGATTCGAGTTTAAGACAACAAATAATATTTGTTAACCAGGTTCAATGTGGTAAATATGATAATGTTTACAAGGGTAGATTTGAATTTTTAAGGAAATTAAATGAGATCCTTTCAAGTATGCATGTAGTGGAACCCATCTAAGATGCAAGTCGTTTATACATTCAATAAAAGTGCATCAATAAAGCATATATATGAGATTAATTTGAAGAGATTAAGAATGGAAAATAGTTAGAGCGCAAGTAACATTGTGATTAGTTGTTCATGAAAATAAGAATAAGCATTAAAAATATTTTTTTTAAGTCTTATTTATATGATTTTTTAAGGTTATAGATTGTTAAGACAACTAACTCACATGAGGCTAACCGAAATTAAATTTTAATAAATAATCAGTATAAGTTGATCATAATAGATAATACCATACAATATATATTATACTATACAATGTGCCTTGTCAAAATTTTGAAGTTAAATCATTCTATATTAATTAATTTTTTTGTAAAATTAAAACTAACCATAGTCTTATATTATCAGATTTAATTCAAACAACTAAAATGTGACGCAGGAAGCCATATTGCATTTGTCCCGCTGAACATGAGAACAAAACTAGGATTCAATTCTGTTACCCGACGAGAACAAAACTAGAATTCAATTCTATTACAACTTCGCCAGGTCAACATCTCACCTCCAAGGGTGGTCGACCCCACTTGGAACCTTAAGTTCTTTTTCTTGAGTTAATAATTAGCGTTATTTTGCTTAGAACCTGTAAATATATTGCTTAATACCTCGTTTTGGGCTTTCAACTTGTTTTATGCTTTTTGAGACTTGTCTCTTTATTTTTTCTCTACACTTGAGTGTTGAACCTTCATTTCTTTCAGATGTGAGTATGGCTTGATCAAGAATAAGCGGTGGATTTTCCATAACTTTTGAAAACCTTTGAATTGTTGCCAATATTATCCTCCTTGGATATTTTCACCCAAGACAATTGTTGTAGCCATTTGAATTCTTCCAAAACACCATCATTAAAATTTTTTTTCCATCTATTCTCCCTCTATAACCATCCTAGTCTTTCCCTTGATCCTAACGCACCATCTAGGAACCCTATATCAATGTCATTGGAAATCAAAGCTAATTCCTAATCCTTGCCTATAACTCTTTGTAAATCTAAATTTTATGTTATTTACCTAAAATTTACAAAACCTAACCTTTCGTTCTCCATGAAAAATAGTGCATACACCCTCCACCTAAACTTAAACTTTCGGTGAACCTCAAGTCCTCAAACCTATCTTAGTCGAAACCCTACAGTGAAGAGGAAGTCATTGTGCCACCAAGGAGAAATCCTCAAAGAGATATCCAAGAGTTTATGATGAAAGATATGCAGTGAAAAATCCTCCAACTATAGTGTTGGTTCAAAGATAACATGAAGAAGTCATCCATAGCAATAACAATGATCATTCACATGGAGAAGATGAAAAAAGCTCTTTTCACCAAGAATATTTAAAAGTTGAAGAGTCGATGCCCCATCAATTTGGAATAAAATATAGGAAAAAGGGTGACTTTGGAGTGAATGTTGATTTTCTAGATTTTGATGATCATATGTATTTGGATGAATCCGCTGAATGACTCTAAACCGTGGAATAGATTTTCGAATACAAGGACATTTCACATGACAAAAATGTACAATTAGTTGTCCATCAAATTAAAAGAAAATTCTTCCTTGTAGTGGGGTAATCTAACATGCCTGTGCTAACATAGAAAAATGTTTCATTGTAGTGGGGTAATCTAAAATGTTTGTGCTAGCATGAGAAAATTAGCAAGATCATGACGTGGTCTACAGGATGAAAAACAAAAATGTAACACAAGTACCTCTTAGCATATTACCGACTTGATATTTTTTTGAGATTTGATCACTTATAATAGGATTTGTATTAGTAGAGGAGTACACTATTGAGTTTGAAAAACGCATGTCAAAAAAAAGTTGGTCAAGCTAGAGGAGAATACCATAAACCTAGTATTTTATAAAATTGAGACCTACTGATAATGTGATGCAATTACAACCCAATTGGATCTTATAGGATGTTTAGATTTTAACCCTAAAGATAGAGAAGTAGCATAGTGATATCTGATCTTAAACTCGACTCTTCAAACAGGATTTGACCATAGGTTCATGTGGCAAGAGCACACCAGTCAAAGTGCCGCGACCTACCTCTCGTGAGGAGAAGCCTGCATAGGAGAAAATAAAGATTGATTGGGTCATCACCCCCAAGACATTCTTAACTAGAAATATTTTATGTGTCATGAATATGAACACATTGCATCTAACAACCCAAATATGAGAGTGATTTCTTTTACTAGATAGGCTGCATTGGAAGTAGTAGATAGTAGAGAATCTAGAGATGAATAAAATAAAGAGTACTACCTTGGTAGATGATGATGAGACGTTTGTGATTTGATGAGTTCTTTAGACTGAGCCTAAGAGGGAGCAATTGTGATTCAATGAGTTTTCCAAAATTCTTTTGATTTATATGTTAGATATTTCTGACAAACCACTCTTCTAAGGATGATATGTTGTGGCAATCCTATGTTTAATTCCATATTTAGTAACTAATGTATCAATCTTTCTATTCCTAAAGTGGCTCCCCTCATCACTGATGATCACTCTAGGCATATTAAATCTACTAAAGATATTCTTCTTTAAAAAATTTTGAAGCACTTTGAGTATCACAATAAAGCAGGGCTACAGCCTCTATCTACTTTGAGACATAGTCCACAACTATCAAAATATATAAATTCTCTAATGAAGGTACAAATGGTTTCATAGAGGCCAAACCCCAAACATAAAAAATTTCAATCTCCAAAGTAAAATTTAGGGGCGTTTCATCTTTCTTGGAAATATTGCCTACTCTTTGACATCTATCATAAGTTTTAATATATTCATTCACATTTCTAAATAAAGTAGACTAACAAAATTTTGATTGCAAGATTTTAAAAACAATTCTATCAACTCTAAAAGATCCCCCAAATTTAGAATCATCATTTCTTAATAATTGTAAGGTTATGAGTACACCTCTCCTAATCACTTGATCCTTATATCTTCTATACAGGTATGAGTCATCCCAGAAGTAATATCTAGCATCATGAATTAATTTCTTCCATTGATAATATGTCAGACCATAGTGTATAATATCAATAACTATATAATTCACTATGTCAGCATGGCAAGGAATGCATCATTCAATAATAACAATTTTGCTTATGTTTTACTATGAAGAGAAAGATGTGCAATTTCATTTTAGATGATGTTAATTGTGCGAATGTAGTATCTACTCATGTGGTGGACAAATTGAGCCTACCCAAAAGCATTCACAGTCATATGAAAGAGAATAAGATCAATGTTGAGAAGAGGTGTCCGGTGGAGTTTTTCAATGGACACAAGTTGCGAGGGCATGTATAGTGTGATATCGTGCTTATAAATGCATGCAATATATTGCTAGGTCAACCTTAACATTATGACAAGAGCATGATTCATTATAGTCATAAGAACTACTCTTTCATTAAAGATGTGGAACATATTTTACTTCTATCATTGAAAGAATCAACACTGATGAGTATTCATGTGCTATAGTTCCATATGCCATCTTTCTATAGGCTATGACACATATGCCAGTGGGATTGACCTTGGTGATGATGAACCGTTGTGAGATAGGTGAGTCGATACCTGGAAGCACGACTTCTATCGAAGGAGTTTTTTGATGCTCTAATTAAGAGCCTACCACTTGGATTACTTTCCTTACATAAGATTTTGCATGTCATAAATCTCATTCTATGATCAATGCTCTCCGACCGACCTACTTGCTAGATGCAACTAGTAGAGCATGAAGATTTGGAAAAATAGGTTGAGGATTTAAGGACTCAAAGACTAATTTATGAGAGTATTGCTTCGTGTGTTGTGCCAGCTTTGATTATGCCTATGAAGGACGAATTGTGACATTTGCATTTGACAGTAGGGCGGTGAATAAGATCACCATTAAGTATTGATTTTTTTTTTATTAGATTAGTTGAATATAACTGTCATCTTCTCTAAAATTGACTTGCACAATGGTTATCTACAGATTGAGATGAGACCGGAGATGAGTGGAAGACTGCCTTTAAGATGCGGCATGAGTTACTTGAATGGACAGTTATGACTTTTGGTCTGTCTAATGTGCTAAGCATTTTGCGAGATCGATGAACTAGATTTTCCAAGCACTCATAAAAAAATTTGTGGTTGTATTCTTCAATGATTTATTTTTTTTGTGTATAATCGTTCAGAGAATGAGCATTTGCAATCTCTATGACAGGTTTTTGGAGTTCTTAAAATAGTGTAAAATTATCATTTTCTAACATTAAAATGTGCTTCCTAATATATTATTTTAGCAACCGACACTGAGATGACACCCGTTAAGGTCAAG